CAACGTTTGGGTGCAAAAGCTTGGTATTGGTTTTTCAGAGAATACGTGACTGAAGCTCTCCAATTTGAGTGGAGTGTCGAACAGCCTTGCTTAGCACGTTGCGCAAAGGATGGTGTCCACAATTGCTTCATGATCCATGTGGATGATTTGCTTTTCACAGGGAGTTCAAAGTTTTGAGCAGAGACGTTTTTGCCAACAATGGAGGCGAAGTTCAATGTGAGCCACAATTGAGTTGAAAGGTGATGGAGCAGAGATTTCATTTCTAAAAAGACGATTGGTTAAGATCTCTGATGGACTTCTCATTGTCCCAGGTACCACTGTGGAAAAGGTGGTGGCAGACTTTGAACGTTTCTTTGGCCCTGCAAGATCTCAGAAGATCCCATGTGACAGCTCGATTCAAAACCAAGATGAGTCGAGACCACTGACAGGTGGAGACAGCAAGTGTTACAAAAGTGTCATTGGCTTGCTAGTTTACGTTGCCCGAGATCGAGTTGATGTGATGTTTGCTGTGAAGGAGTTATCTTCATGCATGGCAGCCCCAACGCTGTTACCCCTTCAACGCTTGAGAAAGCTCATTGGATACCTCAAGTCCAGTGGCAATGTTTGGGATGAAACTTGCAATCCCAGAATTTGACTCAGGGAAGACTCGACATGGAGCTGAGACGTTTTGGTTGCTGGAAACATATACAGATGCAAATTGGTCGGCAAACAAACGACACCGCAGATCAACAAGCTGCGCAGTGCACATGGTGAATGGAAATTTCATTTTACCTCAAGAAGCGAGCTACACGCAATGGTGCCTGAATGCTCAGATGCAATCTTCATCAGACGTTGCCTCGAATTCTTGAGTTGCACCAGGGTCACCCATCAACAATGGACTGACAATTCAGCTGCAAGGATGCTGGTTCAAAGGCAAGGAGTTGGTCGCATTCGACACCTCAGCGGGAAGATCCTTTGGATCCAAAACCGTGTGCTTCAGCAAGAAGTCACGGTAGGACAGATTCCAACAGAATGGAATTACAGCAATGTTGGAACAAAGCCGCTTGCAAGAAACCGTTTGCTGGTGTTTCTGAACCAACTGGGTGTCACTGACCCGAAACCTTGGAAAGTGAGTGTTGATCAGGAGGAGTTTGAGCTGGCAGCAGAGAGGACTCAGAATCAACAATCTCTGAAGCGCCTCACAAAGGCGATCCTGCGTATGACAGCTGCATGGGGGCTTGGGTCAGGTTTTCGACTGGGTGCAGAAGCCATGGAGGTCAACGAGGTTTGTGTTTCAGGTCAGGCTTCTGGAAACAACGGTGGAAACCACTGGCTATGGCTTGCAATGTGTTTCATGCTTTTGATGGTGGTTGGTTTAGCAATGAAAGGGTACTTCAGGTTGTGGCAAACAGCAGGAGACTTGGGTCATCGCTGGAGACAAGTGGGAGACGAGGATGAGTACATCTCAAGACAAGAATCAAGGATTGATTCATTGGTTTAGAAATGCGAGAGTTTGGAAAATCAACTACAACAAGTTTTGGCCGAGTTGAAGGATGAAATTCAAACGGTCAGCAACGAGACTAGCATGGTGCACGACTATGCACAAGGCACTCACTCCTCAGTGGTGGAACTGGAACATGGTGGATTTCTACGGAACCGCCTTGGATTATCACATCAATAGATGGTCCATTTGGCCACACTTGAGAGAACCAATTTGGTAACAGCTCGAGTGATGCGTTCAGTGGAATATATGAGAAGCTTGAGACAACGCTATGGTCCACAAGGAGATGCAGATGAGACTGCTGCAGTCCCCATGGAGACAACAGAAGACGGAGGTGAAGCCGTGACATCACCTTCAAGCGCGGAATCAATCACTGGAATACTGGATTTCCTCAAAGTGGAGCACACGAGATGTTTGCAAAACATGGAACTTTGGGATGCAAATGCGATCCAAGGTCTCATCCTACAATTTTTGGAAGCGATGCGAGGAGCTTCTGGATCAAACATCTTGAGACAATGCTGTGTGAGAGTTTCAGAAACATTCAGTGAGATGCAAGAGCGCGCGATCGAACAGAACAGGTGGGAAAGCGCAGATAGATTTCAAATGATTGCGAGAATGTACGGACCAGATTGAAATGACAGTATGCCTTTTTCTCCAATTGCAATGGCAGCAACAACGGCTGCAATTTGCGTCAAATGAAAGGCAGCAGAAAATTTGAAAGGTGCAAAGGTGAGTCCAACTCACAATTGCAAGGAGGAGTGGGTAGAATTTGCAACTGTACTCACTACATGGAAACGTTCAGATTGATGACATGCACAGACTGCATTCAGCTTGGATGACAGTGCACAAATCGAGAAGAGACGTGTAGGGAAATTTGACCTCATGTACATGAAAATCATGTATGTATCTTGAGGCCTTCTGGCTGGAAAAACAGTCGCTGCCTGCTTCGCAGTTTGACATCACTAGTTTACCCGGGAAATGTCTATATTATATATTCAAAAATTTGGGTTCTACGTCGCTGGGTGGTTCTAGGCATGATAAGGGAATGCTACTTTTAAAATATGACAAAAAAAATCGAGCAACCAATCCAAACCATTAACGATGTGAGTCAAAAATAACCCCGGTCCAAAATAGCTGCCCGAAATCGATAATCTCCAAACATGTTTTTCGATAATGTGGGAACGTCATTGCCATCCAAACTACATCCTTAAAAAAATAAGGCCATCAAAATACAATCTCGACCCGGAAACAAAGTAAGTAGGCTATAGTTTCCACAACCACTGATGGTAGAAAAAACCGAGGGTGCAGCAGAACCAGGTGAGAAATCGCAAGTGTAGCGCATCCGTACGTGGGGTAGGCCGCGGTTGGCCAAATTGTCAAGGGAAGACCGAACACAAAATTTGACCGCACTCCGCGCAGCGGACCGATGGCCGGCGGAAATTACATAAAAACGACCGTTTGTCACTGACATTCGGCGTGCGCCCGACGAATAGCCTGTTGCCACGAATTTTTTCGTTCGAATCCACGATTGGCATAGCAGTGTCTGTACTGAACCTGGCCAATCGCAAATAGGCAGTTGGACAACAATTTAATTCAAATTTTCGCGGCAATGACGCACCAGAGCGGCCATGCTGGACAACAGTTGTGTTCGCCTATAGTTTCTTCCCTTTGCTCTGTACAGGACAGGAAACTCAAGCAATCTTGGGTTCCTGGTTCCCTCAAATCAGAATCAAAAATTACAGTTGCATTAATTTTAGGTTTGGTTAATTTTTGGAGGTGGCCTCTTAGCACGGGTTCGTGCTGCCGCTTTGACGCCCAATTTTTTGATGAATCCCAAGCATCCCACAAAATAACATCAAAAACTGTGTCTCAAGCAGCTGCATAATCATCGTGTTGGCCTTCCCCCGTCGACACATGATAATCTCTGCAACCGTGCTGGCCAACATTCCATCATTTCTGAATGGAAGGGCGCGGCGGACAGTCGGCGCATGAACAGCCATTGGCCAAGCGGAATGAGGTTCTTGATGAACTACTTAAGTTTAGCACGTTTCAACATTTCAGCACCCACAATTTTTAGCTGACACGGACCACCCCTACTTCCCTTTTCCAGTTGCTCACGCATAGGCGCGCCTCAACTCTTCATAGGGCCTACCGCGCTTGCAGCCCAAAACCCAGTCCTCGGCCTGCGTTATGCAAGCTCCAGGCCCTGGGGTGTGTCCCGCATCTCATCCTCGAATGCAAGCGGCTTCCCCAATTGATTGGCACTTTTCTACACAAATGAAACGACAGAACGACGTACCATGTGGGCGGCAACTGACCCGGACAGGTGAAAGAAAAGAATGAGAAAAATGCGAAAATGTTTTATGGTTTGGATATTCTGCGCGTTTTCCTTTGTGAAACGCCCATGTTGTTTGCCATATGCCCGGTGGCCGCTTCTTAATTTCCGTAAATCAGGCCAACCGTTGTGCATAATTTTAAGCAAATCAGGCCACCATCAAGACTGCACATTCGTACGTATCCACCTGCGTGGTTTCAGGGCCCTGCGGCTCAAGACCTGTACCTTGAGGCGTTGATTACTATCTTATCACGATGGTGCCCATCCAACAAGATAAGCGTGCGCTCGGGGGAGTGGAGAAATCTGGTGGTTCAAAGCAACCAGTGGACCGTACTTCACACGTAATAAAAGAACCCACACGAAATCGCCTTTGTGATGGCGACATCAAATGTCCAAATTGGAAATTGTACTGTAAACTAGTCACCAAAATCTAAATTCATGACAGCAGGGAAGGCGCGGTCAAACGCTCCCCCTGCAGGAGCACATAGGTGATACGTGTTCCGCCTTTTTTTGGACCCTATCCCAACGGTTTAAAATCAAATTGGTAAAACATGTTGACGTGAGGACTAGTTTTTTTCTGTTCCAATCAGAATTTTAAAACAAAATCCAAAATCATGATTTTTCGGTCATTGATGAATGACATGTCGTCACGTAACATTCAAACCAGTTGTAAACAAGGTCAAATCCCAACAGGCGAAGTCACATCTCCAACTATGCGAGCAACCCGCTTTCCAATTGCTAGTGTGCTGCCCAGTTTACGCCATAATGCCATAATAGTTTGTGGTACATGTGTTTGGTATGACAAATCAATCGCCCAAGAACATTCTGGGAGACGCAAGTTTCTTACCTTGATACGCAAATATATGATGGAAAAATATATCTTATGAATTGTTCGCTAGGTGTTGATGTCTCATGACCCATGTTCCATTTTCACTTTGCAAGGTGATTCAGGTCCATACATGTGCAACATGCACGATTGGGCATGCCGGATATAGGCACAAGGACTTTTCCATTAGCAGGAAAACATTCGTTTGCATGTCGCTTTGCCGTTGCATCGCTTTGACTTGAACATCAACATTGGCAGCGGGGCATTAAGACCAGGTCTGCTCTGCTACATCCTGGTGGGTGTCTACGGGATCCTCATTGTGTCCCTCTTTGGCACTGGTGGCATAGCTGGAGGCCCTGATGCCTGGTGGTCAACGGGGTGGGGCCAAAAAGTGGAAAGCTAGGAACCATGTTGTGGCAGAGCAACACACGGCTAGTGAAGGTGATGAGGCTTCTGAGGCTAGCCACTCGAATGAGGCTAGGGGTACTGGAAACAGTAGTTCCTCAGGGCAGCATGTGGAAGATGACACTAGTGGCAGACCTGACCCCTGGTCTGAATGGAACAAAGACCCTTGGAGAAGGCAAGCAGCTGACAACTGGCACCGCGGTTGGAAGTGGCATGATGCGGTGGGCTGGCATCGCTCTTGGGATGATGGAGACTATGGACGCAGGGGAGCTGAGCATGTGGCCAAGCTTGAAGAAACCACCCTTGCTCATGATGGGCGATGGCATGGGTCTGCATGGAGAGATTCAGGCCAGGTTAGCAGTACGAGGTCGGAGACCACTTATGACACCAAGGGGGCGCGACCAAGCGAAAAGATGGTTGTGCCTGAGTTCGATGGTGAAGGCGATGAACAAGAACTTGGACGATCCGCGAGATCGTACGTGAGAAAAGTGCACGTGTGGCTGAGGTGCACGCGCATGGCAGAAAGGGAGCGACCTCTGGCTCTCTACACGCATTTGACTGGAAGAGCCTGGATTGCGGCTGAAGAACTTAGCATGGACCGACTCCATGAGGAAGGTGGCATTGACTACTTCCTTGATTGGATTCGGATCAGGTTCATGGAGATTGAGGTCACAAAGGTGGCGACGGTCATGACGGAGCTTTTCCGACGTTGCCGCAAAAGGGCTGACCAATCAGTGCGTGAGTTCAACTTGGAGTACGAGCGCCTCTTGATGCACCTACGTGAGCTGGAGTGTGAACTTCCGCCACTTGTCAAGGCTTGGTTGTACCTTGATAAGTTGCGGTTGGCAGAAGGTGATGAGATGAGCCTTCTGAGCAGCGTCAACAACAGGTATGACCTGAAGCTCTTACAACAAGCCGCTCTTCTACATGACAGGTCTACGCGGAGGCCAAGCAATGCATGGGAGAAAGGTGGTGAATCGAAACCCAGGTGGAAACGCCAAAGCACAGTTCACCTCACACAACATGATGATGAAGATGGGGAAGACTCTGATGCTGGGCGTGGTGATGACCTTGAAGAGGACCTCGGCTCGGACGAGGACCTGGTGACTGAAGAGGTGGCCACACACTACCATGATGCCTTCATGGCCTACCAGGACGCAAAGTCCAAGTACCGCGAGGCAGTCAAAGGTCGTGGGTATGACCGCGACGAGTTGAAGAAGCGGGCAGAGGAGAGACTTCGGGCAGCCAAAGCCAGGAGTTTCTGCTCTGTGTGCAAGAGGAAGGGGCACTGGCATCGGGACCCAGAGTGTCCGATGAGAGGCAAAGCTCAGACTGGTGGAGGTGGTTCATCGAATGGCAAGTCTGATGGACAGGCAAAGAGTGTTCAGCTCTGCCAGGTGGCCCATGTCTTCACGACAGAGACTTCCAGCCTGAGCTCAGAGAGGGAGCTGCATGCAATCGCAGACACGGCATGTTCAAGAACGGTGGCCGGGCATGATTGGTTTGAAAAGTACTGCGACATTGCCGAGACCTATGGCATCCCTGTGGAGATTGTGGAGGAGTCAGAAAAGTTTCGTTTTGGGGCCTCAAGAGTGCATGAAAGCACCTTTAGTGTTTGGGCAAAGTGCGCAGTCCAAGGGAAGATCTTTGCGGTGAAGATTGCCATCGTAGCTTGTAAAGTCCCTCTACTTTTTAGTAGGAATGTTTTGTCACGGCTTGGCATGGTGTACCGTTTGGAAGACGGTGTGGCTGATCTTGAAAATTTGGGAGTGACAGCACTCTGCATGGGCGTTTCTGAGACTGGCCATCCGACCCTCACGGTCACCGATTTTGGAGATGATTTGGGTCGAGCACAGGCCCTTCCGAATGCAGAGACGGCGTACATGAGCACAGCTGCCGAGGGTGAAGGGGGATTTGCAAGTTTGTCAAAAGTTGTCAACATATTTTACCCCAAGAAGGTTTCAAAGGAGGTCCAGGTGATGCTCACTGCAACTTCTCTTTCTCCGGTTTCTTTTTATCAATGGTGGAAGCAATCAGCGCAGAGCCGTGATTTTTGGATTGAAACTTCAACTCATCTCATACGAGTTCATGTGGTGCCACGAATGGGTTCTTTCGATCCAAGTGCATGGGAGACACCTAGGAGTGATTTGCATGAGAGTTTGATGAAGGTTCTAGGTGACAGGTGCGATGTCGAAGCAGTGCCATGCATGAGTGAAGGGACTCTCAAGAACGAACATCACATACCTGATTGGAAACATCTCACTGAAGATGACATGGTTGCCATCAAAAGCCATGGGCTGTGGATCGGACGCAGCCGTTTTCCTCGAAGATCCCCCGCGCCTGGGATCGAGAGCTTTGCAACCCATGCCTGCAGCTTCGACAGTGCAGTCAGTATGGAAGATGGGCAAGGAGCAGCTGACACGCGAGCTGGTGGAGCATGGAGTGGTGGTGCACCCCAATTGGACGGTGCCGGAACTGAGGACCACGGTGATGGAGCAAAGGGAAGCGCTCAACCCGCGCATGGACAAGAACGACAAGCTGAAGGGAATCACACAGCTCACCCTGGACCAGCTCACACAGAAGGCGGTGGAGGAAGGGTTGTCATTGCCTCCCCGACCAACGAGGGGACTGCTCATCCGCATGTTGCGGGAGAGCACACAGCAGGAATCGGACAACGTGATGTGCTTCGGAAAGTTCAAGGGGTGGCTCTACAAGGAGGTGCCACGCGAGTACATGAAGTGGGCGGTGGACGAAACGGCAGCCAACACGAATGCATCGGAGGATCTGGTGCGATTTGCCACTTGGGCCAAGGAGGAGTTCCAGAAGCAGGACAAGGTGGTGTTGGTGGTCAGGAAGCCGCCGGCGAGCAAGGACGACCCGGAGGTGAAGGCAAAGATCCCGCCGCCCGACATCGAGGTGATGTCCTGGGCCTCGGGCTCCTCGGAATCACATCGGAGCTGGAGAGCCGGGCGAGTTCAGGCGAAGAAGAAGGCCGACAAGCGCCGGGTGGACGTCATCGAGGTGACGGAGGACATGGACAGCGAGCTGCCGGAGGAGGCCAGGGCAGAGATTCAACACATGGAAGCACAATTGGCGGCACTCAAGCAGAAGCACAAGGTGGTGTCGGGACCCCCTTGCAGCGTGTATTCCAAACAATGAGGGGGCTCTGGAACAAAGGTGAAGGGCCAGGCCGCTCCGGGGTTGATGCGCCTACTGGCCTGGAGGAGAGGCCAGAGGGCTGCTCCCCCACCGGGGTCGATGGGACGCCTGTGGATGCCATGTCGGCTTCCGCGGGGAACCCTCTCCCAGGGGTTGACAGGACGCCTGTGGGTGCCGTGAAGGCTCCCGCGGGGAACCCTCCCCCTCTTCGGGGCGTGGCGCCATTGATTGGTGGCCCCCGGAGGGATGAGACGCCTGTGGGAGTCTCGTCGGCTCCCGCGGGGAACTCTCCCACAATGGAGCGTGTGCCAGAGCCCGAAGAGGAGGTGGAATCGTATGACATGGGCAGTGACCATGGGAAGTCACGGGGCCATGGTGGTGGAGACCAGGAGTTGACGCCTAGAGAGAAGGCGCGCAAGGGCATTCAAATGAGAAAGAAACTCAAGGAACCCCTGAGGAAGAAGGTTTTTGGAATGTCGAAGGCACTTTTGTCAGTGTTCTGCACTTGTCTTGTCTCCGCAAGCGGCTTGGCGGAGGAGGTCTTTGCGGAGCCAATCTATGACCTGTGGAATGTTATCAATCCTATGAGGGGATCTTCCAGCCCGGCGTGCTTGGAGATCTTTGCTGGCCGTTGCACCATCACCGGTGCTTTTGCTGACAAGCAATATGGAGTGTTGAGGCCCCGAGATTTGAAGTTTGGTGATGACCTCCGATGCAAGGAGACCCAGGAAGAGATCCTGGAGACCATCGACACACATCGACCACGCCTGGTGTGGATGTCCCCACCATGCACTTTTTGGTGTGGTTTTTCCAATCTCAACTACAACCCACAACAGCTGAGGAGATTGAGGGCCCGAGAGAGGGTCTTCTTGCGCTTCATCGACCAAGTCATTTTGAAGCAGAAGATGTATGGAGGGCATGCGATTGTTGAAAACCCTCGCAAGAGCGCCATGTGGAGAGAACAACTCCTCGCGAAATGGTTGTCGGGTGGAAGTTGCAGCTATGTTGATTTGGAGATGTGTGCATTTGGCCTCCTGGACACCAAGGGGGAGAATCACCTGAGGAAGCCTATGAGTTGTTGGTGACCGACAAGGCCTTTGCTGAGGAGCTGCAAAGGTGTTGCCCAGGTGATCATACCCATGTTAGAGTGCAAGGGTCCCAGACAGCTCACTCAGCTGGCTATCCTGAAGGTTTTGGAAAAGCTGTGGTTCGGGCCTTTGAAAAAGTCACGGCCCAGACCGCATATGTTCAAGACGACGGTGGTGAAGAAGCCACTGCCAAGGAGTCACTGGGTGGGGGAAAAGACATTTCTTTCACCGGCAACGTCAGCGGAAGGGTCGCTGGGGCTTTGCGGAGGCTGCATCAAAAACTTGGTCACCCGCCAAACCGTGAGTTGGCAAAACATCTCAGGCTGAGTGGGGCATCGCAGGATTTGATCGAAGCTGCGTCGGGCCTCAAATGTAGGGCATGTGAGAAATGTGCTCGCCCCCCTTTACACCCTGTGGCCAAGCCAGCCGCTCTGCTTGACTTCAATGAGGCCGTTGCAATCGACATCATCTTTTTGGACAATCAACAGGGCAAGGGCAACTTGGCACTCAACATGGTGGACATTGGTTCGTCTTACCAGGTGGTGGCCCCACTTCGGAATCGCAAGTCGGACACCGTCTTGCGGGTTTTCCTCAAATACTGGGTGAACTGGGCAGGGCCTCCAGGCCGGTTGGTCCTGGATTTAGACACTGCATTTGCCGACAGCTTTGCCGACTTGACGTCGGACCTGGCTATCTCTATGAGGGCAGCTGCCGGTCAGGCACACTGGCAGAATGGGATCGCCGAGAGGTATGGGAGCTCCTGGAAGTCATGCTGGGAGAAACTATGTGTGGCAGAAGGCATCAGGGATGAGGATATGCTTGATGCAATCTGTGCGGTGAATGATGCGCGCAACTCACTGCGCAATAGGTCTGGCTTTAGTCCGAGACAATGGGTCTTCGGGACAAATGGCCGTTTGGTGGCGGATTTGGAGGATGGCGGTCATGAAATGAGCGCCCTGCATGCGGTTACACCTGAGGGGCGCATGGCACGAAAACATGCGCTGAGGAATGGTGCCCGTATCGCCTTCTTCGAGGCGCAGGCTTCTGCAGCAGTCGAAAGGGCGCTGGCTCACAAAAACCGCACCAAGCCCAAAGAGTACAAGCCAGGCGATTTGGTTTACTACTACCGCCAGACCAAGAAGAAAGGAAAGCAAACCAGTGCAATGTGGATGGGTCCAGCAGCCATCATCGGCCAAGAAGGCCAGAATTATTGGCTAGCGAGAGGAGGCAGATGCATTCTTGCTGCCCCTGAACATTTGAGGGCAGCTGAACATGAGGAGGTCAGCGAAATCTTGCGCATCAAAGCCGCCATCAAAGAGGTGGAGGGTGTTTTGGAGGAGGAACAAAAGGACTATGCAGACCTCCGATCACCACATCCGGAGGGCGCTGGCGATGTGGAAGTGGAGATGGAAATTGATGGCATCTTCGACGATGAGGATGAGGAGATGCCCACAGCTGAGGCGCCAGCCAGTAGCGCCCGACATGAAAAGAGGAAGAAAGCTTTTGAGAACGAGCAGGAGCTCAAGAAGGTGGCACGGCAGCTTGGAGCACTTGATGATGTTCCAGCGAGCGTCAAGTCGTCACTGAAGGGTCTTTCTGCTGCCACCACTCCTGAGGCACCAGGCCATGTCAGCTTTTTAGTGAAGAAGGCCAACTCGCCAGAAGGCTGGGAAAAGGCTTTGGAGAAGGAGATTCCCTGGGGCATGATACCTGAGTCTGAGCGGCATTTGTACATTGCCGCTGAGGAGAAGCAATGGAAAGAACACCTTGAATTTGGAGCGGTCAAGCCCTTGACTTTGGAAGAAAGTGAAAGAGTCAAAACTGAGGTGGACCCGGCCAGGATACTCCCGGCCAGATTTCTCTATCGGGACAAGCATCACGCCAAGCGAAAGATTGATCCCAACATAGCCTGCAAGGCTAAAGCTCGACTATGCGTTGGAGGCCAACGGGACCCCGATTTGGGGGTCAAGGAGATGGAAGTGGATGCGCCCACTGCAAGCCGTCATAGTTTGCTTTTGGGATTACAAGTGGCGTTGGTGCGAGGCTGGCTTGTTAGCATCGGAGACATCCGGGCAGCATTTCTCAATGGTGTTGAAGCCCCAAGAAGCTTGTTTTTCAAACAACCGGCGCGTGGGATTCCAGGCTTGCAGCCTGGTCAACTCATTGAGATCCTGAAGGGGGTCTTCGGCCTCTCAACGTCCCCAAAGCTTTGGTGGATACGTTTATCTTCCGAGTTGACACAGATCACCTTCCAGGTTCATGGGAAAGACTATCGGATCATCCAGAATGACATCGACCCTTGTGTTTTCCAAGTCCTTCGAGTTGATGGCGAAGGGCATCAGGTTTGTGGTCTGATCTTCACACATGTGGATGATCTGATGGTCATGGCTGATCCTGCAATTCAGGGGCGCGATTTCCCGTTGATGAATGGGAGCGTGATCGCTTTGATTACGTGGGGTGTGAATACCACGTCACCAAGGAGGAGGTCAACATCACTCAGACGGGATATGTACAGTCCCGACTCAACAAAGTGAAGATCCCAGCACATCAAGTAGAAACTGATGTGGTTGATTCAGCCACCAAAGAGCTCAATAGATCCGTGGTGGGATGCCTGTCTTGGTTGGCGAAGCAAACCAGGCCTGATCTCCAGTTTATGGTTGCGCAAACACAAAAGAGCCAGGCCAACCCTACTGTTGCTGATGTGAAATGGACCAACAGCATTGTGGAGTTGGCCAGGAAGTTTCAGGACAAGGGCATCAAGTTGAAAAGGGTCGACGAGAGCCAGCTTTGTGTTTTTGGTTTCCACGATGCGGCTTGGGCCAACGTTTCTCTGGATCAAGAAAGTCCTGACGACATTGTTTGAGACACCGACTGCAAGAAAGCTTCCCAGTTGGCATCACTTGTGATGATTGGCGATCGGAAATGTCTGGCCAATCAACCTGGCAACATTGGGATTGTGGACTGGCGAAGCAAGTCATCCTCTAGGATATGTCGTTCAACTTTTGCTGGAGAAACGATGGCGTGCAGTGATGCAATGGAGTCAGCCATCTACCTGCGTGGACTTCTTCTTAGCTTTTTGCATGTTGGGCTGGTAGATAGCGCGAAAGCGCGTGAAATGATTCCACTGCATCTTTTCACTGATTGCCGTTCTCTTTATGATCATTTACACAAAGATGGAGTGCCGAAACCACCGACTGAGAAGCGGCTTGCGCTTGATTTGGCGGCAATGAGGATGGAGCTCAATGAAGAGGGCAAAGCGCAATGGAAGTTGCGCTATGGAGAAAGAGCTGAACTGAGGCCCGATAGGCCGCGACGTCCTCCTCTTCACTGGGTTCCCACTGATCGCCAATTAGCGGATGTTCTCACCAAACGAATGAATCCCAGCAAATGGTGGGACCAAGTAGCCAGTGGCATTTTGCAAATTTCTTTGAGGGTCTGGGACGATACACAAAATACATAGATTTTTGATCAGTGTTGATGTCTCATGACCCATGTTCCATTTTCACTTTGCAAGGTGATTCAGGTCCATACATGTGCAACATGCACGATTGGGCATGCCGGATATAGGCACAAGGACTTTTCCATTAGCAGGAAAACATTCGTTTGCATGTCGCTTTGCCGTTGCATCGCTTTGACTTGAACATCAACACTAGGTTTGTGCCACAGGGTATGGTTCGTCCGGTGATGACAGTGTGAAAAGGAACTCGTGGTAAATTTGTTCTTGACGTTGCTACGTCAGACAAGGTGCTTCGGAAAAGGTCCTCTGCTATTTAAAAAGTGACTGAATTGTGTTGCACCGGTTCGTAAAGTTTTGACGCCCCCGCCTGGTCGTTGCCACGGTGTTGACAACGGTGTTGACATTAAACAAAATCAGGCAGCAGAACCGTGGTGACCACAACTCCAGGCCTCCAAGTCACCGATTCGGACCTTGAAAACGAAACTCGTAAACATCAAAACAAATTTTGTTCCAACGCGTCACCTCCAGCGCAGGACATGACATTGACAGAAACCACAGAATTTCAATTCCTTCCCATTATCTTCCGCATCATTACAATGTTCTTACACCAACACCAACCCAAGTCCACGTTTTCGAACCACAGTCCAGCTGCGTCATGTTTTTGTTCAAACATCGCAAACGTCCACAACAACCAGCCGAACTAATTACAAACAACATTTGGCATCAAATTTACCCGAAAGTTGTGAACACAATTGACGAACGAAATGTTCAGAAGGGTGCTGTGGTTCCCCCAAAATCACGCGTTGCTATCGGATATTTTCTTTTTAGCAGGGAGGAAAAAATTGCACATTTGGTCTGCAATTTTCCACCTGAAACGACATGTGTATGGACTGGAATCTTTGCGATGCTCACGCAATGTGCCAGTGTGCCAACGATCCGAGTAGTTTTGCTCATCGGTTACCGTTCTGGGGCGGCCGGACGCAGCAGTTGATTGGCAAATGGAATTGTGCAAGGTCTTTGCCAACTATACATTGGCCGAATGGCTGGTCCAACCACCTCGCCTGCATGGTTGAGTAGTTAAGTGGCTAGATTGACTTTTCGTATCAAACCCAACCGCTAAGGATGTTTTATCCCAAAATTTTGTATCAAACTTCATTGCTGCGGAAATTTGGGGTGGACCAGTGCTTGCTTACGTAACTAAATCGAAATAAATATCCGTGTGCCAATCCGATCATTGAAAACATCCGTTGGGATGGTTCCGGTCGTGCTAATGTACGTCCATCGCACGTGGCAAAAAATATCACCGATTTTGGTTTGGGACCTTCGCTTTTTCCGCTGCTGCACTGTGTCTGCCGCAGCAGTATCTTGTTGGTTTTTTACCTGCCCGTCATGCAATGTACGCTCAGATCGATGGTGTTCTGTTCATCGGCATGTTGTGTTTATAAACTAAGGCTTTGCTTAATTTTTTCACAGCGGATCCAGTTTTTGCTATGATTGGTATTGGACGCCAATGTCCGCTTCGCGCAAACATCTCAAAAAATCGCAAAAATTCAAAACAAATGTCGTAAACATCTCAAAGACACCGGCCAAGCTTCTTAAACTTAAACATGTCAAAAGCACAAAAAAAATCAAACATTTCAAGAGACAAATGTTTCAAACACCCCAAACTCTGCAACAAAATGATCTCATACGTGTATTTCATGAGAAACCTGACTCTCCAAAGTGCTGTGACGCATCCAGAAAGCATTCACGTATTGTCTGCATTTACAAATTTCACAATCAGTATTCCAATGTCAGTGTGTGAAATATTGAAAAAGAGGACGCCTAAGCAAAACCACCATTTAGTATCATGTTGCACGCGGGCATATGAAACATTCCCATGAACAGCTGTGCCTATCCGTGGTCTGTCCGCCTGCCACCCGTGCAGTTTTCCAGAACATGAAACTGTTTGTTCCCGAGTGTTTGTGGCATGTCATTGTTTGCTGCATTTGAGAATTTCATTCGTAATTATTTTTTTCTTCCAAGCACGAAGGGGAAGACAAGTAACATAAGACCGCACGTTGCCTCGCTTCGTTGTGCTTGGTGTCACCTCCCTCATGGTTTGGGTTGGTGTGGCTGGTGTGACCCTGTTCCCTACTTAGCCCGGCTAATGCTGCCATAGGACTAACTGCTGCTGTGCATCTGTGTAATTTATTTTTAAGCATTTTGTACAAGGGACCGTGCGTTTGAGCAATGATCGCCAAACCTGACAAAAAAAACGTTTTAGTTTTCTCGTGTGTTGCGTGAGCAAAAGATGTGACTTTTCTGAGGCAAGGAAATATATGACAGTCGTCAAGGTGTTTTTGTTTGCTTCCGCCGGCCCAAGCAAAATTAAGATCCAAAAACAACTGCATTAGTTAGGGGTTTGTTTGTCAAATGTAACGGGTTTTGAGCGAAGCGTAGTTTTTCTCTCAGGTCAGTTGAAAGCGACACGCCGGCAACAGGTTCGAGGCCACTAGTGGTGTAGATTTTCGCACGGTACTGCGGTCAAGACCCAGCAAGTTTATGAAAAAAATAATGTGAATTAGGACCTGGGAGCAGGCTGGAAGCACCAGAGGTTACATTCAGCAACGCTCTGACAATACCTGGTCAAAACAGAACCTGAGACCAGGTGCCTAGACAGGAGTGGAAAGTTCATGCAAGGGGAATCACATTGGTGAGGAAAGAAATCGGTGGAAAATCTGAGGACTGCCCCGTAGTGTAATGCCGGAGGCTCGGTTTGGAAGTCTGGACTTCAATTTTTGAGCATTGGTCACATTCATGGGGTGGCGATGCGTGTTTGGAATTTGTTTGCGGCAACTGGTCTTATAGGAAAAAAATGGTTTGGAAGTAGGAGAGGTGTCTTTTATAGGAATAAATGTATTTGACGGTAGCAACGCAACGATGCAAACCATTTTAATTGCCAGCTCGGAATGGTTGGTGATTGATCGGTAATGACATGTTTGAATCGTGTACCGAGGAGGTACACCCATAGGTCTCCAGAGTCATAATGCTTTCCGAACAAGAACCCACCTGCACACAGACGCAAACGTGAAAAATCGAACGCGCCGGTGCGCGATCACTCTAAAAGGCCTCCCGTTTGCAGAACATCCAACGTTGAAATTCCCGGGAGAGGATAAACGTCGAGTAAAGCAATGAAGTCTGTGCTAAAGCGTGCGGCAGGGTCAGCAAGCATCAACCCACCGGGAAAAGACGCGAAAATAGCACATTGGGTGCCAATACTCTAGCATGCTGTGTTCTCATTTGTACAAACCCCGGACGAACTCGGAACACGCATCCAATCAGACAGTTTACAATGGCAGGAACACTTCAAGTGGCAAAACTCCTGCATGCTGGCTTTTCGTATGTATAAACCTTAAGCAAATTTTGTTTAAACTTGAAGTCTTTGTGGCCGGTCCATGCCATCAAGTGCGGCAGGATTTGAATGAAGGAAAATTGTTCTGTTTTTTTTTTTGCGCGCTGCAACTGTAGATTTCCTCCGCTGCGTAGAATTGAAGTTTGATTGGGGTTTGTACATATAAAGAAAGAACAAATCGAAGGTGTGGTCATAGCATGGTTTTCTCCAATTCAATACAGTGCGGGGGACAGAGATGTTTTCAAAAAAATTGTTTGGAATTTGTACATATGAAAACACAGCACATCGAAGGTGTCACCAAGAAAGTAGTCATTCCTCAATGAAACGTGGCGCGTGCAGACATTAACAAGGCCTGTCTCGTGTTTGTAGATGTGAAGATATGGCAAAAACAGGAGGAAAGAAGCGTTGCAAACAAAAAGGACGGGTAAAAAATAAATGATTAAGACGTCTGGGGGGCGAGGTGTATGCAGATCCGCCTGCATGGAATTTCGTGGGGCAAGTGCAACTCCAACTCCAACTACATAACCTTAACGCAAATCAAAATTATTGGCACGCATTTCACCAAATTTCGTAAAACCCATAATGCCACGCCACAGCATGACACTTTCAAGACGCCAAGGCAAGCTTCTCCAAACCTCTCGAATTTTGGAAACACTTGGAAGTACATCTGCAGTTCCGTTGAGTCGTTTTGAAGCCTGGAGGGCGCCATATATGTCAATTTATGGATACACCGTCATGGAGCAGCCTGTGGCCAGGGATTTGTTTCAGAGCAGAAAAAAATGTGTGCGGGGCAAAAAAAAATGTTCATGTCCGGTGCGTTTCGGCTTCGTGTTTCACAACAATTCAGAGCTTTTCCCCATAAATTTCACAAACTTTTTACAATTGTGCCGCCGTGCTCCCGCTGTGATAAAGCCGCTGTTTGACCTCAACGTCCGTTTGCTACCGCCAAGTAGCCCCCCATGTGGTTTCAATTTTTCCCAACCATACTCACCAGAACTAGTTTGTGCTGGCAAAAGTGCTTTTAACTCCAGCATGGAAATAGGAAGGGCCAGGACCACTATAGATTCGTAGAATTTTTGACGCCTTTTTTTTTAAACATTTTTACGTCCGTCCATTTGCAACTTTCCCTGTCCCGTCCCCGGCATTACGCTTGCTGGAAGTGGATAAACAAGGGATTACCTGTTCCTCGTTTTGTACCTCTTGCGCGCCTCTTGCGCCCCTCTTGCCGCCAGGCTGCTGCGATGTGTGGCAATCCATTTGGATCAGCGTTTTCACAGCATCACATTACATACTCCGAGGTTGCTTCTTCTTCCGCGCGCAATGATCCGAAAATATTCATGTGCTAGGCCAAACCTAATGAAACGGCGTCGGTGGCGCGACCAGGATCCCAACCCAGGCAAACCAGGCAACATACACATAGAACGACGCGCAAAAAAACGGTTTGAAATAGATGCATTAATTGGGAGGTGATTTGGATCGTTGGCTCTCAGGCTGGCGCCACCCAATGATGGTTTTTTGGCGGTGCCGCATGTACAGACGTAAATCTTGCCATGGACGGAGAACAGAATGATGCTAATCGGCGTCCAAACCGACCACCAGTGCTGCTCGCATGGAGTTCAGCGTGGTTTCGTTTGTTAGTACTACTGAAACTGGCACCGCCGGTTTTGGGCTATGTATCAGTTCGTCCTTCAATTTGTTGCAAATCATAACCTTTCATATCTATCATTTCATTTCGTTTCATGGCGATACTGCCGAGGAAATTTCGCCAGGGATGCATGATCTTCGGCAATGCCACCTTGGGTTCAAACCTAAGAGAGGGCACCTGGCGTTCATTGATATGGTCCGGCTGGGTAAAGTTTGTTTCTCGCAGCACTGTTGTTTAAAAATAAACATGCACTTCGTCACTAATTAGGGCTAAACGGCACGTATTGCCTTACATAGCGTCCCAGCGGAGCAATCTGAGCAGTGTGGAACCCCGAGGCATGACCACGGTGAAGTTCAAACCCTCCCGGCGGAAACGGGCACAAGTCGCACAAGGCCGGTTGGTGGTTGGATTGGGCAGTGAAGGTGGGAAACCCGGGGGTGGTAAATTTTAGTTTGTAGTTTCGTTTTTTCTTTTTTTCCTCTTCGATACAGGTCCACATTTGTATTTAACAACGGTTTCCGCCTGGTAGTGATGTTTGCTCTGAAGATGGCTAGGTCCAAAATGTTTGTTGCACAGTTTTCACCGCTATGCTGGTGACATTTTGGCAAACTTCGCTGTTTGCACATTTTGTTACGAAGATCGATGAAGGTGGGTCCAGGACCTTCTCCTGTTGTAGTACACGTCAAGTGGTGGACGCAAGCACGGACGTACGAACACCAAAACAATCCCGTAGATGATACGGCGTATACCAAAACTCGAAACCCTTTTTACTGGATTTGGCTCTAGTCATTTTTTTTACTTTGCTCCCAGGCACGGGTGGTGTTGCTGAAGATGATATTGTGCAAAACTAAGTGCGTGTGACCGAGTGACGGGCATGCATTGAATCATTGAACCCTAAGGACAATGGGCGACCAATAGTGTTTGCACCAGACACATGCGTCAAATGCAGGTCATGGCATGGTCATCCATTGTGGCAGTAAAAAAATTATTTCTATTTGATTATTTCGATGGTTTGTATGAAGAAGTTTGTATGAAGAGGTCTCCCCGTCATTGATCAATAATTTGGCCCACGGGTACGGGCTGGCGATGGCCTCACAGTGGACAGTTTCAGTTGCAAAAAAAAAGTGCCCCGGCTTTGACCCATACCCTCAGCTTGTCAGCGCCGAGGGCCCTACAGAGGAGGCACTTGTTAAATCTTTCCTCGGGGGTGCGGCATATTTTGTGCATGGGGAATGTTACGTTGATCTTTGCCTTGAAACGTGCTTTGGATGGACTGAAATCTAACGTTCAAAACAATTTCTCAATTCGACAAATCATGTGTTCCTTCCACTTCCAGATGATGTTGCATTGGGCGGGAACATTTACCATATGGTTTCCAATATCAACGGATATGTCGGAGGTGCTGGGACACATTCCAGAAAAATCGAAGCTTTTGGTGATGCAGCCGCTGGGTTCTGCCTCAATCAATGGTTCACGACACCATTCAATACACCTTGGCCACCTTGCCGTGAGGCCAATTCAACAGGTCCATCCACTGTGCTGCATCTCGGTGATGATGCAGATAATTTTCTCGAAGATCCTGAAGTAGTGGCACGTGCTGGGCTGATCACAGAGAGACTTGGATATTTTAAATATGATGGGATGTGTGAAAATCAAATGTGACAGTGATAGCAGTGGAAGCAGAACCTTTGTGGTCACCAAGGGTCCCGGGTCAATTTGCCATTGGCATGGTCAAAATTTAGGACATGAACGGGTTTGTCAAGTGAGGAGGGTCAACCTCCCCCAGGATTCTTGTTTGTTGGAGTGGATTTGTGGGTTTCTTATGGCATTTTATTTATGGGTATGCATCGGTTCAATCATGGTAAAACAGGGTAAATTTCCGTATTAACCAACTGGACTGGAATGGATTTGTTCCCAAGGATCCTGCAGTGTTGCGGCTTGGTGGGCCCACCCGGTGTGCCCAACGAAGGCATGGACCGGTTGTACCCGAAAGACGGGCAGTGAGCAAATGATTCCATTCTAATAATAGCGCAATGTTTTTTTTCCTCATGTGCAGGTCAAATTTGCACTTTTTGCCCGGAATCCATGCCACGCACTCCCTGACTGATAGGTTGCAGTATAGAATGAAAATGGAGTCTACCTCCAAATAGCTACTGCACATTGATTAGAAAAAATGAATTTAGGTTGGAAACCATTGGAAGCGGCAGGTTCCTCATTAAAGAGAAGACGAACCCCAAAAAAAATCGCACGAAATCTTAAACCCTAATTAGCAAATCCTTGCAAATCATGTGAAAATTCGAAAACTATTGAAAACCATCGGTTTTCCGCATCCATGGCCACGGCGCCAGGCCGTGTGCTGCGGCCTTCCTCCGTAGTGGCTTTTGTGGCGCGGCACCGGCGCTTGGCGGCGCTGCGTGGCTTGGACGTGGCGAGGCCAAGGGTGGCATTCCACTGGACGCAGGCGTCCCAAAGGGTGCTGCGAAAGATAGGGAAAACTGAGAAGATGATGGAACATTTTTTTTGATTGTTTTGAGGGAACATGTTTGGGTGACTTTTTTGGGTGAAGGCTTGATTTTTTTCCGGTGTTAAGCATTTCCCTTGGTGTGTGTTTGCAAAATCAGAGGACACGCCCTGCTCACTGCAATTTTTTTGGGGGTTGTTTTTGGGGAACATTCCTGGATTATTCGGATTCCCCAACCACATTTCGGGTTCTTACAGTAATAGTTAAGGCCTGGTGTCCATTCAAGGTGTTCTCCGGCTGTTCCGATCTTTTTTTGGTGAGCATTACCCGCACACTTCCATTTTTGACGGAGGTCTCGCATGAAACAGTGGCCCGGAGACCTCTCACGCAACCTTCTCGGCACTTTGTGCGGTTCAGATCGGTCTCGTTGTGGCGCGGTGCGAATTTTGAGATGGTTCGCTCAACCCTTTCGTTTTCTTTAAAGCCTGTCAGGTCGCTCTCGTTGTGGCACGGTGCGAATTTTGAGATCGCTCGCGCAACCCTCCCGGCATTTTGGGCGTGCGAATGTTGAGATCCTTGGCGCAACCCTCTCACTGTGGCGCGGTGCTCATTTTTATCATCCAGGAGATGTTGCGCGGAGGTCTTGAGAACGAGGTCTTTGACAGAGGTCTTGCCAATAGAGCTCGTACAGAGAGCGTCCACCAAGATCTCACAAAGAGATTCTGCCAAGAGACTGCTCCTTGAGATTTTGCACAGAGATCTGGTCAGCAGAATTCTTATAGAGATATTGTAGAGAGACATTGCGTAGAGATCTGTTGCAGAGATCTTGCCAAGAGACCTCTTGCAAGGAGCTTGTACGAAGATCTTGCCAAGAGACCTCTTATAGAGATCTTGTACAGAGATCTTGCCGGGAGATGCTTTTCAGAGAGATTGTGCAGAGATCTTGCCAAGAGATCTCTTGTAAAGATCTTGTACGGAGACCTGGTGAAGAGAACGGAAATCTTGTTCAGAGATTTCCTCTGGAGAGCTTGAACAGACATCTTACTTTGAGATTTCTTACAGAAATCTTTTGTGGAGATCTCTTGTAGGCACCTTGTGTCAAGGAGATCTGGCACCCGACCTTTTACAGAAATCTTGACAAAGGGAACGTGTAGAATCTAAGCTGGTATGTTTTCGTCATGCTCTCATGCTCCTCGCAACACCTAAGCTTTTCACGCAGTGGTGCTCTATTGCTGCTGCTGCTGCCGCCGCCGCCGCGGCTGCTGCTGCTGCTGCTGCTGCGGCGTGGTTTCCTGCTGCGCGCCTGGACCACCTTTGCGGTCCTAAAAAAGGGCCGCTATTGCCGTGCTAGCTTTGAGCCACTGCTGTGTTGTCCCGTTTCCACCTTCCTCTTTAGAATCCCTGATGCACACTGTTTGGTGTTTCTTGCCGGGATATTTCTTTTTTATATTTTTTTTACAGTGACATGTTTTTGGGGGAATTGATGGTGAAGTTCTTTGAAAAGATTTCAGGGCTGAGTCGGGCCGGATCTTGGGTCGTTGTGCCGGAATTGGCTTGGTGAGAAGGGGCGGTTGGAGATTTCATATTTAATTATTAATTATTAATCGAAAGAAATTTAGAAGTGAAACTTCCGACAATATGGACAGTTGAAAAGCAGAGGTGAGAAGAGTCAGAAGAGAAAAAATCAGAAGAAAGAAGATGCAGGTGCGCGAAAAGGTAGGAAAGTCGTGAAACACTTTGTTTTTCCAATGTTTTCTGGCTCCGGAGGGTCGAAAAGTAGGCTCGCTAAAGCAGCGGGTGCGGAGCCAGCTGGCCAGATGAGAGATGAAAAAGTGTACGCCGTTGTGGCGCGAAGCACATTTGGAAGTCAAAATGTGCAAAACACACCATTCTCGGACCACTTTTGGAAGTTGAGATGTCAAAAAAGTGCACGCCGTTGTGGCGCGAAGCACACTTCCAAGTCAAAACGTACAAAGCAGTACATGTTCGCGCCACTTTTGGAAGTTCAGATGTCGAAAAAGTGCATGCCGTTGTGGCGCGAAACACATTTCGATGTCAAAAGTGTAACAAAACTGAGGGTTTTGAGCCTTTTTTGACGTTACGATGTCGAAAAAGTAGACACTGATTAACTTAACTAACTTGACTAACTTAACTAACTTCACTAACTTAACTACCCTAACTTCGACGACAGCAGCAGCAACAACAACAACAACCACAACAATTACAACTACAACTACAACTACAACTACAACAACAACAACTACAACTACAACTACACAACTACACAACTACACAACTACACAACTACACAACTACACAACAACTAGAACTACAACTACAACTAGAACTACAACAACAACAACAACAACTACAACTACAACAGCAGCAGCAGCAACAACAACAACAACAACAACTACTACAACTACTACAACTACACAACAACTACAACTACACAACAACTACAGCTACAACTACAACTACAACTACAACAACAACTTCAACTACAACAACAACAACTACAACTACACAACAACTACAACTACAAAACAACTACAACTACAACTATATGACTGCAACTACACTACACTAATTACATTACACCACAACTACAACTCCACTACGCTACAACTACAACTACAGTTAGCAGTACATCACACTACATCCAGCAGTTGTGGGTGAGGTGACCACTGCAACCATTGCAATCACTCCAGCAAACACAACTCCAACCACCTTTCGGTCAATCAGTGGATTCGCTCTGCCATCCGTGATTCACAACATCCAACGTCTCCTATAGGTTTCCTATTCTGAAACTTCCGCCACCGCCTTGTGCGGCACTACTGGTATGTATAAATTTGTCGATATATTTGCTTGCCCAAATGCACGTGATTAGGGCCTGAAGAGTTTTTTCATACGTTGCAGCCAGAAAGGAGCGAAACTTTGAGGGCATTGCCCGGGATGGGCTCCAGGTCCCCGATGGAGCAGGACTGGCAAACTGGGCTAGACGCTGACCCCAATGACGTGATCGTTCTTTTGTTTCCACCGATTTCTACCCCGCTCTGTTGCGTCAAGTAGTCTTCTTGTTTCAACCAGTGTTGAATGTACTTTACTCTTGATGGTTTGAGTTTAGGGCGTATGTCTTGCACCCTTGCACAATTCAATCCGAACCTGCTGGAAATTAGCAACCAAGAGCCAGCAGTGTCATCATTGGGCTTGTCAGGAGTTGCTGTTGCTCATGGTTCTTCTTTTGGTTTGGGGGTTTATGTTTGGTGCCCCAGTGGCGGGTTGCTTTTGGAAACATGGCCTGGCAGTGGGCATTGCCAATGCAACAAAGGAAAACGCAATGGCCTGGCAGTTGCCATGTCATGGTGTGTAGCGGCATGTCACGACTTGTGATGGAGTGGTTCTTACAATCACATGGGCCAAGGTTTGTCCAGAAATGGGGGTATGTGGTAGAGACTGCAGACTTGGAATACAAATGGGGAAAACATAATTTAATAAACTATTTTTTGTGGCACCCTAGCACGGCTATTTCTGCTGGTATCAAGGAGGGAATGAACATGATGGTATATGATGGGATCTGATTCCTCCAGTAAACCAAGACAGATGTGCAAATTCACAACTATCAATAAGTAAAACATGTGTAAACGGTGGCATGGTTTCTTCACTGATTTCTGCCGCTAGGTCTCCCCGGATTTTCGCTATGGCAAGGAGCTCTTCGCCTATGGTGCTCAGGTTCGTACTGCAATAGTGTACAGTATACAGTATACAGTATACATAATCATTAATTATGTGAATTATTGTGATGATAGATGAATAGAATTGAATGAATAAGAAAACTCTAAATGAAGAAATGGACGAACCTACCAATCTCCGCAATTGTGTGTTCACTGTTCCTCCCACGATGGCAGCATCCCTGCAAGGCCGCCTTCATGTGCCTTTCCCTTCCTGGACGGCAACATTTTGGGAAACCCAGCGCTGCTGCCATGGAAGGACCTGGGTAGATTCCAATGATCCCACCTTCATGTGATGCCTGCATTATTGGTTTTGGGTGATTCCCAGTCATATGCAGTCATTAGGCCATAGTTCCACATGGACACCTCATCTGAAAAAACAGGAAACCTTGCCAGTTCAAAAAGAATCATTCTTGTGAAATTCTTGGCGCTTGGATTTCGGCAAGAATCCTGCCTTTTCCAGGCTCTTCCTGGCCACAAGTTATTATATTTAGAGGGCCAAAATGGCCAGAAACTCTGGCGCCCAAGATGTGCGTAGGATACGACAGTGTGGTGGGCCGAGAAGGACAACGCGGGGTGGACGAATGGGTCTTCTTTCGCCAAGATCAGCTTCTGCCATGCTTCCTAGTCGATGAGCCCCTCGGCCTTGTCATGGCCAGTGCTACACACGAGGATCCAGTTCGTCACAGTCAAGTGCAGAGAAAAACAAAATCAACGCAAGCATCCCGTGGAGCATCACTTTTATTTTGATTTGTGGGCGATGGAATCGTGGGTGTGGCTGCCTGTAGTCGATGCTCAGTCGGGTCCGCTTGTTTGAGGCTCGGATTGATCCTGGCGCGGGAAGCCGCACAAGCAGCGATCAAGGCCAGAGTTGATCAGAGTGGATGTGAGTGAACCGAACCAAGTCCACAAACCCATGGTGTATGTGGACTGTGCCATTGATCGTCATTGATCCTGGTATCCCAGATGGACACACCTGGGGGCGTTGCAGGTGTTGCATCAGCCTTGGCCAGATGGCCAGCCCTGCACAGAGGCTGCCAAGGATGGGACAGAAGCTTTGGAGGCTCGCGCTTTTTTCACCTGGCTTAAACTTTTACAGACTATAGAAGTCAACATATCCTTGGTTGTATAATGGTGTGGAGGATGGTTGCGGTGGATGGTCTGCAGTATTCAGTTGCCCCGCTGGAAACAACGCTCCCGTTGGATAGGAGAACCATTTTGCAGGGGTCAGCCTGGTTGTTGCACCGGAGAAAATCCCAATGTAAATCCTGATTCTCTGATATGATTGGTTGTTCATACCGCCCATTCTCGTTCCTCAGATCTCCATTGAAGTTGGTAGTATCGTCCCTTGTTGGTGGTTGTCTCCCTTTTTTTGATCATTTTTGTTGGTTGAACCTCCAGTGTTTTTTGGTTCAACCTCCAGTTTGGTTGGTTGAAAGTTTAACATCCTTTGTGGTTGGTCCATTTGGTTCAACCTTTGTTTTCAGTTGACCCATTTTTTCCATCACCAGCTGGGCTGGCGCAGGTGCCAGCAAGCACCTCTGGGTCTGGCCGCTGGCGGCGAACGGCGGTCCAGGCGGTCGATGCGCCCGAGCACTGCAGAGAGCACTGCCAGGTGACGCTGCTGGGGATGAGAAGTGCAGGTGATGGGAAAACGAGTTGATTTTTGTATGACATCATGTATTCATATATTACGATGTATACATATGTATATATATATATATCTATAAAACACCATGTGTCAAATATGTCATATATGATGTGTGATATGTGTATACATGCATACCTACCTACATACCTACATAGATAGATGGATGGATGGATGGATGGATAGATAGATAAATAGATGGATATACGGTGAAAGGATTACATGTGTACCTACTATAAATAGATGACTATAATAGATGGATACCTACTATAGATAGATTACTTTGTGTATTGATAGTCATGGTGAAATTCGCCAGCTTTCAACCCTTAGGCCCCCAGTTTCTGATTCTCTAGCTGTGAGTTCTGCGGGTCTGCAGGGCCCTCTGGCTGGACGGCGCTGGAGCCGAGTGGAACCAAAAAAAGTGGTCGCAGAGGATGGGGAGGTGTTGTGAATGGGCACGATCTTGACAGGATCGATGAGTTATTTTAATATATTTGGATAATATTAGTATGACATTAGATATATTGATGGTTGCTTCGGTCTATTGCGAATGGGGTACCAGGTCTGGGTGTTTTTTGTTACCTTATGCAAGAGGAGCCACTGGCTCGAAAAAGCAGATAGACACTTCTGGGCAACTACGCACGTATCAGAAAATGGTGGGCTGGAAGACTGTCCGCAACAATCCCGCATGGGTGGCTAAACATCAAGCCCGTGAAGTGGCTGTATACCCAGCAAGAAAACAGCAGAGTATATGGCTCAAACCTCAAACCTACAAAAATCCATGCACCTAGCAAAGCAAGGTTTGCCTAGCAGATGAATCAACAGCCAGGGAAATAGGCAAACGATGATCACAATGGCTGTGGGTCATGGTGTTGCTGCAGCACAGGCCGCATGAGAGGGATGTGCCTTAGATAGGTGAAGCGTCGTGGTGTTGCAAGCTATAAGGCATCTCAGGGGGGTTCATGTTAATTCATGTTGCACGCGGTTTCGTTGTTGAATCATCGGGGTTTAGTTTGCGACTTGAAACGATCCATGTCACAGCTTGCGCTGGGCCATGCCATGATACTGTATCCCCTTCTGTTTCTATTTTTTTAGCGTTTCTACTTCCAGACGGTGACTAGAGCATTGTGCCCTGAGTCTTGGCAATTGTGCCAGGTGGTTGAGGAAGTTTCTCCCTCGAGGCACTTGTGGGTGTGCGAAGTTGTCAAGCAAGTAGCCTCGTGAGCATTACATGAGATGACAAATTTTGTATGTCACGATATTTAGCCTTTAATAGGCCAATCATGAGGCCTGGTGTGCATCATGAGATGACATGGTGTTTGACTGACACATATGCTTAGTCTATGTTTGTAGATGAGTCAGGCAGGGCAGGTTTTGGTCTCTTGCAGCCCTTGCGGCGTCTAAAGAAGTGAAGAATCGGCTGGTTGGAGCTACAGTCGCTTTTTGAAGCTTCTGGATTTACGGTGCTTTGAGTATTCTATGAATCTATGTCATTGTCGATCAAACACTTATTTATTAACAAGTGAAGCGTCCGAAGTTGTGACATGTACATGGTCCTGCCCGGCACCCGGCAACAACCCCCCAATGCTATTCCCCCATCCCCCCCAACGCAGTGGAGGCAACAACACCTACATAGTAACCACGACCTGCCTACATAATGATACCACATTTTGGGTTCACTCCCTATCTAGCCCCTCACCCAAGCCTACATACTGCTATACTCACATGCTAGCCACATACTACCTATACATACTGCTAGCATGATAAGCCCATCTAATGTTCACTACCTACAAAAAAGCCCCACGCATCCCACACGGGGGGAGAAGGGTAAAGTGGATCCTAAATCGAGCCTGCATACTGCTACTTACAGCCTTACATGCCAGCCACACACTATCTACGTACTGCCCCACATGCTAGCCACACACTACCTAGTGGCGGAAAACATACTGTAACCATGTGCACCGTGAACACACCTCCTCGCAGCAATTCTGCAGGGATCTTTGCATGGGTCCTGCCACCCTGACGTGCTTTTCGGGAGCCTTGGCTGTGCAGACCAGCGGAACTCTGTGGGTCAAGGACGCGTGAAGGGACGTAGCTGTGAGTGGCGAATGCTGAGCCAAGGTGGGAGGAGAGATGCAATGGCACTTGGGCCTTGGCCTCAGACGTTGAGGATGGAACATGTTCAGTTTCCAAAACTCATCCTGCAGACTGTAGGTCTAAGGGAGTTGCTGCTCCTTTGTGCCTGTTGCGTCCGAGAGGCTCGTTAATCCGCTGCCTTCGGCCCTGGTGGGCACAAACGATGCAATATCACTGCAATACCTGGGACTGGCATCACAATGCCACAAATTATACAGATGGGTTCTTGAAAAAAGGGTGACACCAATCTGGTTGAGTTGATGTTTGCTGTATGGTGGGCTATTTTTTGTGGATTTTGTTTCCTCATCGCGCCTTGGCAGGCACAGACAGCAGTGAAGTCTGGCAGGCGCCTGCCGTAGCTTATTTTGAAGTTTGCACCCACAGCAACAGCTGGTAGCGAAACATGGTCGAGCATGGCAAGATGAGTGTTGGGCTTGCGGAAACACACGTCGAGTTGCAACATGCGCGTCAAAAGCAGCAACCGTACATCCAGGTACTTTCTGTTGAACCGGCACTTTGGCAAGTACCTTTTGGACAATGAAGGCCAAACCCCGGCCTTGTCTCCCAGAAAGCTACGTAGCGACGTAGCGGTTTGGTGAGCAACTTGAATGCAAGTGTTTGTGAAGTATCAATGCCTTCGCTCAATGATGAGCCAGACCTGGCCGCCGTTTGAAGATTCTTTTCGGTGAACCACGGCGAGCAGTTCGACTTAGACTTAGCCCCAACCATAGCCGCCATAGCCGCCATAGCCAACCCCAGTTACTCCACCAAGCTGCCAGCTTTGGGCCTTGCCGCGGATGCTGCTCTCTGGTCCTTGGAGCTCAAGGACGGGACACCAGGACCAGGCTGCAGCGGCTGCAGGGCATCAGATCCCCTGCCAGCCTGCCAGGAGGATGGCAGAGCTCAGATTGGGAACGTGAAAACTGGCAGATCCTTAGGCTCTGGCGGTATCTGGGTGTCATGGGTGTGGCCCCAACATTTGCCGCAGTTGTTTTTGGGTGTTCATTTTTTTTTGGGTTGGAAGATTGTTCTTTGATTGGTTGTTGGTTAGTGGTCACTGTCTTGTTGATCGGGACCCTGCTCCGAGATTGGGAAGAACTCCAACCCAACGGCAAAGCTTTAGCAGGTGCCCAGGATGAATGGCATATCCATGCGGTGTGTTGAAGCCTCGGTGTTTTTTTTTCCGGGCCGGACCGGAAAGCTGCTGGAGTCAACTCCCTGCACCAAGACCATTCAATTCATGCAACAAAAAGATATAGCAATCAGAAGGCATTGTTTTCAAGAGGAATTTTGAGGGAATTTGATTTCGGAGCAGTTTTTTCTTCAGTGTCACGTGTGATGTGACAGGGCACCAAGTTATACCACCATCCTGTTGCACTTCAGAGTTTGACATTTTGCCCCAGGTCGAGCCAGAGGCGTACACCTGGTGAATGGGAAACATGAGGTGCAAAGTGCAGGGCATGGGTTTCCGACACACCCTGGTGCCAAGGACATGTCAGCTTTTAAAGAGCTTTGACATTTAGTGGTCTCAAGCGATCTCCAATGCTTTAATGTAGTTCTCTCCAAAGAGATGGGAAACGGTGAAATCATGTGAAATACCGAAATACACCCTTGTCATTTTGAAGCATTTCCAGCAACCATTTGGAGGTGCTTGCGGTAAAAAACATCTCAGATGAGGTCCACCGGGATCGCTGGGAGGGGTTGCCCCAAACGATAAAACAGTCTAAAAGCAGCAAACTAATTCCGTCCAGCCCCTAGATGGAATTAAGATGAACAGATGCAATACACAGCAAGGGCGTTTCGGGGGCTGTTTCTTGTTAAGGGTGCGCAGCTAGTAGACTCAGTACTCAGTAGTCAGTAGACGTTAACTTTGTGCAAGTACCACTGGATATTGGCCATATGATGGTTGTACGAAACCTATTCTGGGTAAATTATAGTGACCTCACTGTGATCTCACTGGAATCATGGTAGCAAGGGGAATCATCCCCAAATGGCCCTATTGCAGCCTGGTGAACTATTTTAATTTACCCAGAACCTATCTCCTTCGATTTCCAAGACTTTCTTCAAACTGCCAGTTTCTGGAGGGCCTGCCGATGCTAATGACAGTGACATACACGTGATCATGACGGTAAAAGTGGTGAGGATGAGGATGACAATGACGACGACGACGACGACGATGGACGATGACGATGACAATGATGAAGATGATGATGATGATGATGATGACGATGATGATGATGATGATGATGATGACGATGACGACGACGACGACGATGATGATAACGACGAAGACGACAACGACGATGGATGATGACCATGATGATGACGATGACAATGACGACGATGAT